TGGATAATCATGTTCCTAATTTTGTCTACATATATGGTTTTTTAATGTCCCAACCTAATTTCAAATGTTTCTTTCATTCTCTACATAATACACCAAATATTAAATTATTTCTCAATGCAAATAATTTAATTTGATATGGAATGATGTCTCTTGGTGGGGTGTCATTTCAAAAATAATTCATCCACACTTAATATTTACATTAAATCATATTACTTTGTGACGCATAGTTAATTAATAAATTCAGGTGAAGATTTAATTAATAATTAAATGATAAAAATATATCTAGAAGATATATGTCATATTAATCTTTATGTAAACACTGAGTGTGATTTTCGTGCCATCTCCATCTCCATTATCCCCTATTTTAATTTTTTTTTATTCAATTACACATGGAAAGGAAAAAGGAAGAGAAAAGAAATAGCTAGTGAGAATCAAACTGAAAAGCTTTGTGGTCAGCTTCCTCTGCCACTTGGTTTTCCTTTCGAAGCTGCGTTTGTTTTAAACCTGTTAGTTTGAGATGTATTTGATGTGCCAGCCACCATTTATTGGCCCATGAATCAAGTTGGCCAGTTAGTCAAACCAAACAAACTACAAGGTCCACAAGTATTACATGGTCCATTCCAACTTTTCCACTCACAATATGTAGCACACAGTTTTATTATTCAGCCCTTCCCTTGACGCTTTGTCTACCGGACTGTCTGTTAACTTCAAAATGTCATGTTTATAAGTTTGATTTAGTCTTTGAACCTCTAAAAGAAAAAGTGGATGAATAAACTCGGGTGCGGCTAGTATACAAAAATCTACTTATTACTTAATCTTCACTAATCACAAACAGAAACGAGGGTTATTCCAAAGGACAAACAATCAATTTCTTTTGTGTTCGTTTACTTTAGTATAGGTTTCTTTTTTTTTTTCTTTTTTCTTTTTTGTCGTGTCGTTAACTGAACTTCCAATGAAGATTTTTAATGTTAGGCCTCACGGGCCACAACTCCTTGAGGCCAGTGGGCTGATTAGGTCTGGGCCGAAAAACTTCAATTTTAAATGGACTGAATCACTGAAAGCATTTTAGTCTAACTTTATCCAACTAACGGGTTGGGTTGATCTGGCCCACACTTTTAAATACAATAAGAGCTCATTCTGATCATGTGGATTTCACAGTATGAAAATAAAAAGAGGGGTAAAGTTCGAGTAGTTGGTAATAAAAAAGTCGAAAAAAATATATGCTGGAAACCTAAACGAGGGAAAGGAGAGCCAAACCCAAGATAAAAAATTGTAAACCAATTGAGCATGTTAGATTTAAAATCCACCGAGCACGCAGGTTGGAGTTCCCTTCATAATTATAGTATAAAGTAACATAATAAGGGTAACTCTCAGAATAAAAGGTGATTTTATAGCGTTTTTGGATGCAATAAACATTCAAGTTTTATTTTATTGTAGATTAAGCGGTGATAAAGTGGACATAATGATACATTATTGCATTAGATTAAAAAAAAAAAAGGAATCTTTAAAAAAACTTCAAACAACTTGGACTATTTTTTCTGCCCTTGCATGCAATCCAGTCTTCATCAGCTACTAATTAAGTATGATAAGGTGGAATACTTTGTTCATTTCTGAAAAAATTGCTGGGATCCACCTTACTCTTTATTTTGGCCAATCTCTCAAAGTTGCCATTAAAGTATTTTTCACCCCAGATTTTGGCCTTGGAATAGCTGTAGTCCTCTTGGTTTGTTCCAAAATCAAGGTCCCTGTAATTCAGATAAGCAGTTCTTGGAGATTTTGCAACATATGGCCCCATTTTCTTGTAGAGTTTCCTCATCCATGCTATCTTCTGACTTGATACACTCTCACTATTATCACCCCAGTTGACCAAATACTGAATATTATACAAATTGCCCTTTCTATGCGAGAATGGAATTTCAGATTCTGAAATTTCATCTAATTTTCCACCTAATGGCTCCATTATCATCTGAGGTCTTTCTTCTTCCAAGAACAGTTTTTCCACCATTTTCCAACCTTTTTCTGGAACTGGAGTCTTCACAAAATCAGATGTAGCTTTAAAATAATTCTTCTGTATTGGAATACTCTTTTCTAGCAAAACTTCTAGTGACTCATTTGTTCTCCTACCATAGAAATACAAGACTGATCCAATCCATGAAGATTCACGACATTCTTTTTTAATGCAAGGTCTGTTACTACAGTCCACAACAGGCTCTTGAAAACAATCTTTTTTCTCCAAATCAAATTCAGGGAACTTCTCTTTGAGCAATGGAATTAACTCATCAACTGGTCCAAGATATAGTGCTTGAAAAAAGATTTCAACATACTTCTCATTCCCTGCT